CGCATCCATTCTCGAGGCGTCAAGGATGAAGAGGACGGTATCGCGTTGGACGAAGAGCAGACAGCCGAGAATCTGTCCGATGGAAGTCCCGATGTGTCGTTGCTGCTGGTGGTACAACACCTCGTGAAGAGCGTTTCCGTTTGTCTCCAAGGACGAATCGAGACGTTATCCGAAAAGGTAGAAAGGACGAATCGTTGAAGAACACGCATCGAGAGAGACAGAGAGAGAGAGAGGTGAGGAATTCCAGGCGAATTCGCTCGCGACGACTAAAGAGAAAAGAATAGAGAGAGAGAGAGAGAGAGAGAGAGAGAGAGAGGAGAAAAAGAGAGAGAGAAAGTGCTTGTTCGGGGTGACCGAGGTGTCGACCTCACCCCCGATCAAACCAGCAAGCAGGTCGGATGATGTGGGCGTCTCTGTTTTTCGCCGGGATCTTAAGCGGCTGGTGGGGCGCACTGGCGCTCGCTGCGGCACCCCCCGCCAATCGGAACTCCCTCGAGGAGACGTCGACGAGGACCACCAGCGACCATCCGCCATCGATGAGCATCATTGAAAAGCCCCTCGATTACCGTTTACCAACTTGGAACTTCGTTACGCGAACTATCGATAGACGCGACCATCGTCTACCCACCGAACAGCTCCACGCTCCATCTACCAGAGATTACGTATTGCCCACAGACGACGACGACGACGACGACGAAGACGACGAGGTCGTCTTACCAACGACGCATCGAGAACAACTCGAACAGAACAAGTTGCACCGACAGATTAGACCCTCGGCGGAGAACGTTAACCGATACAACTCTCGAACGTATCGGGTGAACGACCGAGATCGTTTCGCCAGCGAACGAATTTCCTCCACTTTCCCGGCCGACCACCTACCTCCCGAAGATGCTTCCGAGGAGCAAGAGGAGGGGGAAGAGCTGGACGATTCGATACGCGAGGCGTTCGTCTCCTCGTCGAGGCACGCGAATCGTCACCTCGAGGCGAGGAAAATTCATCCAAAGATGGAGGAGTCAGGTTTGACGCGATTACCTCGTCACACGTCGACACAGACGCCGTTTCTATATCCCGGCGGGAGTACGGAGTCGTCCGTGGAGAGGCCTCGTGTGATCAGATCGGCCAAGCAACGACCAAAGAACCGCACGAAAGCGGACTCGCCTAGGGAGCAACGACGACGATGCCGGAACAAGGGTTGTCGCGGTCAGAACTGGTGCCCAGACGTGGACGTTGGAAACAGAGCTTACCTGGCGCCTACCGTGTTCGAGGGCAAAGCTCGTAGCATGTCGTCCGATAGGAAACCAGGCTTCAACTACGCGGTGACGTTCGAGGTAAAGCAAGTATACAAGAACCAGCCGGGTTTTCAGCCGTTGCTGAAAAACGACAGCGTAAGGCTGCACTTTCGCGACAAATCGACGCCGGGCAAGTCGACGGTATGCGGCTACGACACCGACGGGAAGCAGCAACAGCAGCAGCAACGCGATAATCAGAGTGGTGTGGTGCGAGCCAATATTAAGAGGGGTAAAGTGTATCTAGTGTTTGTGAATCGCGTGGGACCCAGAAACTTCACGATCCTCGGTGAGCCGGTGATACGAAGCAAGAAGAACGAACAGGCGGTGCAGGCTGTCGTTCGACCGGATTACGGTGAGTAGATACACACACGATTGTCGATCGAAGAAACGCGTAGCTTCCGCTTTTATTCAGGTTCAGCGACGATGCTTGTCGCGTGAGAGATTCTTTTTTCCTCTTTCGTTTCGTACGATGTAGCAGGATGCTTGGGGTGTATCAACGAAACGGGTGACACCTAGATTATATACGATGCAAAAAGCTGCGTTAGAAATCTAATCCTTTCAGCCGGGGTGAAATCATTCCGGACAGCGTTAGAACCGCCAACGATAAATTGTGACCGCGCTTTGACGCTATTACTCATGTATATCTTACTATCCGAGAGAGACTCGTTTTCTGGCTGTGGAGCGAGAGCAACACGCCTACACGCGTACGATCGCGCGGCTAACAGAAGAGAGAAGCGAAGAGAAGAGGAGAAGAGGTGCTTTCCTCGAGGCGCGTAATCGAGACGCGAACACGCGTATATTTAAACCGCCACGTAAGTTGGATCGCCTTCAAGACGGCGTGCGTGGCTGTTCTAGCTGGTACCCGGAGCTTTTTCTTCTTCTTTCACCGGTTCACGAGAGGCGATCGAACCTCGACGACGATAGGGACGCACGCTTCCCACCGGAACTCCACGCCAGAACGAGCGTAACGAGCGTGAAGTTTTGAAGGTGGTCCAATTTGCCGGCGGTTCAACGCGCTCTTCTACCCTGCTCTCGTTCCCACCAAACACGATTCCCGGCCAAAGACTCGTTCGATCACGGTAGCCTCCTCCTCTCTTGGTAGCAGACCTTCCGCCACCGCTTCATTTATCACGCCTAAGTCGAACTCGAGATATCGGAAGTATCTCGTCACACGAACATCTGTGTGAAACTTTCGACGAGCTGCTGACGAACTCCTTTAGGACACTCCTAACCACATGTGGCCGCCCCAACTTTCCTGTACCCTTATCTCTTGGGTTATTTGTCTGAACCAGTTATCGATACATCCGCGATCTCAAAGATAACGATTGTTTCCTGCTCAACGAGTTACGTTATTCGCGCGTCAAATTCTCGCGCAAGACGCGGGGAATTTATCGTATACCGTTGGAAACAGTTGAAAGAAAGATGATTCGCCGATACGAGAAAGATTGTCACCGCTATTCACAGTTAGATGATACTGCGTTATTCGAGTATTTTTCGAGCATAGGTAGAAAGGGTAAAAGCGAGGAAAGTTCTTTGATACTTCTTGGAAGTAACTCGGGCTCGAGGTTCGTTAGCGCCGTTTTCGTCGTCCACTTTCCTCGTCTCGTTTACGAGTTCAGAACTGTTGCGCTCGTTTGCCTAGGCAACCCGGCCGAACCCTCTTCACCTGTGCGTATTACACATCCGCCTTGACGCGTATCGAAAGTTTTCGCGACTTATCCCATTATCCACCGAGGTGCTACTCAGCCTTTCTGCTTAAACCGATTTATATGACGTACAGGTGGAAGGTTGAGGGGTAAATTGGATTCACCGAGATGCTCGGAATCTCGGTAATCTCGTCTCGAATCTTTGTCGCGGATCGTTAAAAATCCAGGGTGTCTGGCAGCGCGGCTGTCGTCGCTTTCGATCTCGCTTTAATACCTCTTCCAAGTTTCGGTACACCCTAAATAGAGACGAGTAGTACTTTCTCGAGTAGCTCGTAAGAGCGGTAGAGTCGTTCTCGGTAGAGTCGTTCATTTAGACGAAATTGAAGGCTTAGAGAAGCGAGTGGAGGGGAGAGAGGGTTAGGGCGTGAAAAGAGGCGCAAAAGCGGCGCAAACGGCGTCTGGTGTCCGGCGACGGTTCGTTGATCCGCGATCCGCAAAAGCGGGTCCGGCGGCCCTCTTCTTCCAGTTGCCGGTGACTAAGCCAGACGGGGGGACCCGGGACGTCAATTATAAGGCCTTAATCGGAAACCCGTCCTTACTTCTGTTGGCTTACACTCGACCGTGCCACCCGAGTGAGACAGCGGCGAAAGAAAAACGGAATATCGAGAGCATAGTCGTGTCGCGCGCCCGACTATCCACCTCGTCACGCGTCCCGTACCCCTTTAACTCCGCGCAGGCTCTCTCTCCACGTTGTTCTCGCCTTTCGGGAAAAATCAACCGTGTCCTTCTGTAGACAGGACCGACTACGAGATTCCACGACTCTCGTGGGGCTGCTGGTACAACTATCTGTCGGTTCTCGCTCGAAATCCATCGGGAGCCATTAATCTACCGGCTGGGGAGGACGAGTTAACTCGTCGTTCCAACGATCGGTATTTATAATTCCTCGAAAATTTTTAACGTAATTTCAAGCGTAAGCGTAAGCATAGGTCACGAATTCCTCTAGTCTTTCGTTTTCGTTGAAACGACTGCTGCCACGATTAATGAACTTCCAGCCGTAATCTCCGGCAGCGATAAGCGGGGCATTTAAAGCCGTATCTGTAGTTTACGGCGAAACGTTTAGTCATGTGCCGGCGAAGTGTCGCGCCGCGTATCGGTATCTCGATATATATCATAGTTACGTTTATTACCCGGCGCGAGGCGCCTCGCGGACGCATATTAGTATACAATTGCCGAGCTCGATAACGGATAACGCCGCGGCGACGATGATTTTTCGGAAGGAAGCGGGATCATCTCGAACGCTGCCTGGAGGATTAAGTGCTCGCGCTGGTTCGCGGAAATTTCTACGTGCTATTCTTGGATCGGTGCAACGGGTGCACCGACAGCGATTGCGCATTATGGTGTAACTACACCGAGTTCGCGGTATCTGGGCTGGTTCGTTCCTGTGGCGCACGCGATATCGCATTATCGTGGCCAGGATAGACTTTGGAATCTTCGAGGTACAATGTGTCGGCGCGATGACAGGTCCTAAAAGGGACCAGGCGAGATACGTTCCATGGCCTGCAGTTATTTTCGCGTTCGCGGAGTAGCTTCTAGCGTGCTGTGCAAGCACATGCGGGTGCTCGTTAATCGTCCCGATACT